GCCGGGTGGAGCTTCCCAGGCGCCGTGTGCCTCAAATTTGGTTGGAACACTCTCAACATGGGCATCGAGTCTACAATGGGGCCCTGAGAGTGTACCGGCCTTGAGAGATCGCCAGGTGCCAAGCCTTTCGGAGCTATTGGCCACCGGAGGCACCGGGTGTGGGACGGGAAATGGGACGCGCTGCTGCGAACAGCTGATGATTCCTAGGATCATACCAAAGGGACCGTCTCCGTGCTTTCGCGCAGAAACCAAATGCCAATCTTCTATAGAGGTCCCATAGTTTGGAGTTTGGACATGCCGTCATTGGAAGCTTGGTGCACTAGAGGTGCCAGGAGGTGCTGGTACGATCGAGTGTGGTGCACTTAGGCTGTTAACCTGTGGTGGGGTCTTTCTTACCGTCTCTCAGCAGAACATTGATGAATATGGTAGATTTGAAGCTTAAATTGAAAGCTGAGAGGACCAGTTAATCAGGTACAACGTGTTGCGTGTTTGCAAGCTTTGCAACAACACACACACAGACATACATGCGTAGCATGAATGCAAGCAACAGTTTGCGACCGCCTGCCCGCGGAAAGGCGGTAGGTTTGCTCTGGCTCAGGCAAGAAGAATCTCAACAACAAGGCTACTCAAGGCAGCGAAGGATTGTGACGGCAAGGGGTCAGTGGGACGCAATGGGCAGCATGCTGTTTGCACCTTTCACGGAGCGCAGAGCTGTTCATGAGTTGCGAGCTGCGGCCAAAGTCCTTCGCAGTGGCATACGGAACATCAGCTCTGTGAGCTCACACCACAGTACTTCATGCTCTCCCAATGCCAGATATCCCTTTATTTTGCCTTGCCAGGCATGCCAAAGAGCAAGAGCACCAACAAGAAGATGCAGCAGCCACCTGGAACGTAGCACGCTTCTTTTGTGAGGGCAAGGCACATGATCGTTGACTCAAGTCCAGTTTGCCCGTTCTTTGCAGCGTGCTCGCAAGAACGGCGGTTTGGTGACACATGCCGCAACGGCAGTCATGGCTGGCAAAATGTATTCAAGGTTTTGCGTTGCCCAACGAATAACAAATTCAAAAGTCACCAGAGAGTGGTTCGCCTGGAAGGAGGCTAGGGACTTGGCCACAAATTCAGCCAGAGAACTTGGCCCTGGCCGCGCCTAGGAAGACACCAGACATGCCCAACCCCATGGCGACGGTGGGGCACGGCTTTTCGTGGGCTTTCCAAGCACGGTCGCTTGTTCAGCCCTTCCATTTTGTAGAGGTCCTTACATGCTGAACGAACACTTTTTCGGGCTGGTGGTGATCTGGGGGGGGACATACAAGGAACTCCGTTTGAGAGTGATCTGCTCAGCATTTACCCTCTTACAGACTTGCTCATACTTCTGGCTTGCAATCTCAGTGAGGCAGCCAAGATCTTGGCATTCGGATGATGCATTGTTGCGCTCAGTGATCGTGTAAATGCCCTCTCACTGAAAGCGGCAGCAATGCTTGGCGCATACACTGTTCTTGCCGTGGCAGTATACAAAGCTGCCCACTGAAGCCTGCAGCTGCAGTTGCAGCAGAGACAGCACCAGCTGTGCTGTAATAATAAGCGTAAGCTTCCAGCGAATTCTTTGTTTTCGCGCTTGAGTAATGTCACATCTAGCCTTGTCATGCAGCATATTGGACGTGCTTTCTGATGCGTTTAAGGGGAGAACAATGCTGAACCAAGCCCATCACTGGTAAGCCGGGTTAGCGGATCATGGAAGCAATTTGCCAGATTAGATCTGAACACACTGATGGTTGCTTCGGTAGATGTCGAGATTGAGCAACTGTTTTTGAAAATGTTGCAATAATACGGTTCCGCAGACAAATGCCTAACACAATGGGCATGAGTGAATCAACTGGTGCCGAAATGGGATCGCGCCAAAAGGGGCATTGTCGTCCACCTGATGAGCACCTCAGCAATTGCCATGTGCTTGCTGCGCCAGATCGCTCTGCCACCGCAAATGCAATGGCACATGCTGCAGCAGGCTGATGGGGCGGGCTTTAAGGACTGAACGATGTCCACATAGCACCCGATTTTGTTGTTGTTTTTGTTTGTTTGTTTAATTTGCTTGCTTGTTTGTTTGGTTGTTTGCTTTTGTTTGTTTGCTTGCTTGCTTGTTTTGTTTGCTTGCTTGTTTTGTTTGCTTGCTTGTTTTGTCTGTTTGCTTGTCTTGTTTGTTTTTTTGTTTGTTTGTTTGTTTGTTTGTTTGTTTGTTTTCTTGCTGGTTTGTTTGTTTGCTTGGTTGCTTGCTTGTTTTGCTTGCTTGCTTGCTCGCTCGTTTTGTTTGTTTGCTCGTTGTTTGCTTAGTTGTTTGTTTGCTTGCTTGCTTGTTTTGTTTGCTTGCTTGTTTTGTTTGCTTGCTTGTTTTGTCTGTTTGCTTGTCTTGTTTGTTTTTTTGTTTGTTTGTTTGTTTGTTTGTTTGTTTGTTTTCTTGCTGGTTTGTTTGTTTGCTTGGTTGCTTGCTTGTTTTGCTTGCTTGCTT